TCGTGCTAATTGTACACATGAAATAAATCAAATACTATACAACTGTTAGTTATTTTATATTTCAGTTTTTTTTTACAAACATTAATCATTAATACAAAAATTAGAAAACATTATTATATAATGTATGCAACATTGACTGGTAATATAACAATTATCTAATTGTAAATAATTCAGTTACAAAAGTGTTCAAATTCGAACAAATATATAAATCAAAGTAGAAAATTGATTTAAATTAAATTATATTATTATGATAAGAACTGACATAAATGCCATATGAATTTCAGAAGATTTATTCATCATCAGGTTCATATTTTATGGAAGCTTCTAATGATGCTTCCTCTCTTCCTTGCTGCATATACTCTTCAAGTTCTTGATCCAAAAAATCCTTACAAAAAATTTGGCATATCAATTCAATACTTAAAATGTACATGAGATATATATTCAGTCGATATAATTGTTTTTAATAATTATATTTATTTAAATTTAATGATTTTAATTTTATTTTGCTGAATACTTCAAGCCAAGTCTATGAACAATTTGATAATATATTAATTGTATCATTTATATATCAATTAATATAATAAACTTGCATTATATATCACAAGAAATAAATGTTATTTGAAGAGATCTATCTTCTTGACTTACTAATCCTTTGATAATATAAATAAAGTACAAACCTTCTGGTCTTCGGGTGACATATCTTTGAGCAAATCTGCTTGCCACTTCATGAGGTCAACTCGTTGCTTGGATAGATTAAATCTATATCTACTACTAGTTGACTCAGTGCTAAAAATAAAAGAATAATATAAATATAATATATATATATATATAGTGTATCAATAAAGTAATGTATAGATGGACATTTGAGCCTCGGAGCCAATTGCAATAGCAACTTAGACATGCAAACTTATCTTGTAATTCATATAAATTATTCATATGCAATCACTTTGTTTTTTTCAATCACACTATTCTAATATGAAAATTCTCTTCTTGAAAAACTAATTAGTGAATAAATGATAGTGCTCTGTGCACATCTACTGTGTAAGACTACATTTATACCCACTGATGATGATATGAAATCTTATGCCGAAACATTTGGATAAGTTAAAAATTCATTTTTAAATCTTTGCTTTACGTTTGATGAATTGCCTTAGAAGTACTTATTCATATATCTGAACTTCAAAATAACTAAGCATAATGAAGTTAAATAAAATATTATTGTTAACATCTATAGAGATGAATGATGTAATAGAGATTGTAGTTAGAGATATTAAAGTAGTAGTTAATAAAAAGATAAAGTTTATTATTATAATAGAGATGTTATCAATATAGAGTATTACTACTAATAGTGTGTGCGTATGTATATGATTTTAGATATATATCAGTATAGGATAGCTTTACGAATCAATTTGTTACTCGAGCTAACTTTTTATATATCTCAATCCCTTGCATGCAGCAAGCATTGATAAGTTATTTTTCATATACTTTAATTTTAGAATTCTCTAGAACTACTAATTTAAGTTAAACTAAAGTTGATTCTGATTCTAAATCTTAATTAGACTATTCGAAACCAAACTCATGTAAAATATAATATATTGCTAACATCTCTAGGGACGAATTGTGTAATAGAAATAATAAAGGAGTAGCTGATAAAGAGATAAACTGTATTGTTATAAACTATAGATGTTAACAATATAGTGTATTACTACTAATAGTGTATGTATATGATATGTGTTTTAGATATATATCAGAGTACAGGATAGCTTTAATAATCAATTTATTACTCGAGCTAACTTTTCATATATCTTAATCCCTTGCATGCAGCAAGCATTGACAAGTTATTTTTTTATATATACAGCTTCCATATTGTCTACTCTCACATTCAAAATGAATTTCAGTAATCTCTAGAACTACTAATTTAAGTGAAACTAAAGTTGATTCTGATTTTAAATCTTAATTAGACTATTCGAAACCAAACTCATGTAAAATATAATATATGGCTAACATCTCTAGGGACAAATCGTGTAATAGAAATTGTAGTTAGAGATAATAAAGGAATAGTTAATAAAGGGTATTATTATAATAGAGACGTAAAAAATATAATGTATTACTACTAATAGTGTATGCTTATGTACATGTAATGTGTTTTAGGTATATATCAGTATAGGATAGCTTTGCAAATCAATTTGTTACTCGAGCTAACTTTTTGTATAACTCAATCCCTTGTATGCAGCAAGCGTTGATAAGTTTATCTCATTCAAAATTAATTTAATAATTCTCTAGAACTACTAATTCAGGTTTAGGTAAAGTTGATTCTGATTCTAAATCTTAATAAGACTCACTCTGATTCATCCATGGTTGTGTCGCCGTCCCTGTCGATTTTGGGTCTTTTGGAAGAGAAGGAATGTGAATGGTCGCCATGTTTAACAATTAGATTAGTATTCTCTTTCGGGACGATATTGTAATGAAACAGCTTTCTCTGAGTTACAGAATTATACTTCGTTCCCAATTTCTTGGTAACTAAGTTAGCGTGAACAGTAAATTGCACAAACTTAAGGGTATCCTTCCTTTTGATCGGCTTGTTCGCGACGAACTCGTAATTCATCTTATCCGAAGAACTCATGATGTTTTAATTACTTAGTAAAGACTATTAATTGATAGAAATGTTAATTTCAATTTGAATGTAAATGTATAAGTACATATAAGGTCTACTTACATGGATTCCTGTATTAGACGACTTTACCGCTCGAATCTCGAAAGCTTTCTGAGCAAAAATTCTGGCGCACAACGAAACAAACGAATCACAACGCGCTAAATTACTCGGCCATAGAGTAGAAGAATGACCACAGAGAAGAATAGATCAGAATTATATTTTTCAATAATTCATCCATAGAGATATAATGACACTCTCTACATTTAAATTTGAATAATCGAATCACATATTAATTTTCAATTTATGTCTTGATAATAATATATAAACTTGGATCTTGGATCATGCTTGGATCACTTCTACGTGAAAATCAAGATTAAAATTTAACTCCGTTAAAAATTACAACTAAAATATTAGGATAAGGGATCGTTCAAGTATTACGTAAGCAGATTTACTACAATCATTTACCCCCCCCCCTCCCCTTTTTCAGCAAAAGTAAGCAAATTTCTTACCAAAAATAGGCAAAATAAGCAAATCAATAACCCCCCCGCCCCCTATAGTGCTTACGTAATACTTGAACGGCCCCTAACATTGATTTTTTTAACTCGTCGAAGAACAATTTTGTTTTTCGCGAAAAATCCGCGATAAATTGCTAATTTAACGTTTTCTCGACGTTTCAAGTCATTCTGAATCGAATGAGATCAAAATTTAAAAAAGGGCGTGTGTGTTTTTTGTAAATTTAAGGAAATGCATGTATGCATCCCACACAGGTCTTTTGTATGGATATGCCGGACTTAATAGCGCCTAGGTATAATACCTATTAAAACCTTCTTTTCTCTTGCCTCTGTTAATTACAATATTGGTCCCCACGGAAACCGCCGTAAGGGGGCGTCCATTAATCAAGTGAGGTTTTTAGGGGGAAGGGGGTTTGATAAAAAATCATGAAATATCACGCGGGGATGGGAGGGGTATAGTAAGATATCACGTGTATTTATTTTTTACTTGAATTTAAAAACAAATCCAAAAATGTTAAAAAAAATCATAAAGGTGACCATTTTTTCTCGTAACTAAAAATACACGTGATGTTTTGTGGGAGGAGGGGTAATTTTGAATATCACCAAAGGGGGCGAGGGTTCGAAAATCCTTTAAAAATAGATCGCGTGATTAATGGACGCCCCCTTAGGCATTACTTTGTGGGAGGAGGATCTAGAATGTTATATTTCTTGCTCTGACAATATCTTCTAATCTTATAATTATTATCTACTTATCTTCTAATTATTGCCATTCGCTCTTCTTCTTTTTGATAGGCATTACTTCGTGGGGAGAGGATCTAGAATGCTATAATTCTTGCTCTAAAAACATACTTATCTTCTAATTATTCCCATTCGCTCTTATTCTTTCCGAAGATAGCAGGTGTTAGTACTTCGGTAGCAAATGTGTCTAAAACTATTCAGAAGATTTTGATTGGGAATCGTGTTGAATAGTTGTTGGTAAAGATCGTCCGCGTCGTTTTTTTTTGCCAATTTTGATAAAACTTTGTGTAACGATAGATTTTGTAGTCTGAAATGACATATTAAAATATTATAGGCCTACGATAAGCTGTTGAACTTTAAAAACTCAGCAAAGTTCATAGTTTTGGCGTGCGTTCGAGCGATTCTATGCCGAAGCATATACTCTTTGGTATTTCGTAGGTTACAGATGACACTTAAACAAAATACATTATTTAAACACGAAATATATTAAATGAAATGTGTTAAACAAATTAATTCAACATGTACATAATTATATGTATTATAAGTAATGTTGGCAATTCGGCTGCAAATGCATTTCATTTTTGTGGATTCGCGGAATGCCGCCGGTTCGATCCCGGCCGGAATCATCTAACAAAGTCCTCTATATTTATTAAAAACCAGTAAGGGATTTTGCCGGAATTATCTAATAAAATTGTTTTTATTTATTCAAAACCATTCACGGTTTTTGGTGGTTTATTATTAGTTAGTGCTATCCCATGATGAATCATTTATTAAAGAAAATTCTAAATCGTATAAAACAGTTAAATCTTGATTATGTGTAAAACGATTAAATTGATTATGTGTAACTATAGGGTAAAATGTTACTCACAACTGGTTAGTTTCATTTTTCTGAAGGTCAAATCCTTAAACATTAAATTCATAGTACATTAATGCAAACTGGCTCAGTGAGCCGATCACTTCTTGATCAATTTTATTCATCATCTTGTTGAATTTCCATATATCAATCAATCATTTCTCAATCAGTTTTACATGAGTAGCAAAAGTATTTAAGTAATATATTTATTAATAATCATTATTTTATTTTTACAGATATATCCCGATGCAGATCAAGAGAAGTCCCTCATCAGTTTGCCTTCCGCAGGTCCAGTTGTATTCTGTGTGCATCAGAAATTGGGCTGCCGTTGGGCCGGCGAACTGCGTGCCCTCAAAGCCCATTTAACAACCTGCAGGCACGATGCGACACCCTGTCGCAATGGATGCGGAGCGCAAATTCCGAGGGCTATGATGCCTGATCATTTGCGCTACACCTGTCCAGAGAGACGTGCCCAGTGCGACCATTGTGAAAGGCAATTTAGTGGACATGATTTGGAGGTAAATATTTGAATGCATAAGTCGATAAGATTAGGAAGAGAGAAAAGAATGAAAAAGTGGCTATTGCTCAGAGTTAAGTAGAATTTGAATTGGTGAAAGAACAGAATACGATAAGAACATAGATAAAGGCTTTTTTAAATGCTTCAATTATTTTTAGATTATTCGTATTAATTAGATTTTTTTTTCAAAGATCTATGAAAAAATTGCCTATAGCACGGTGATTGACTGAAAAAAACATAAAATAAGAACATTTTAATAGTTTCTCATAATAAAATCAGTTCCAAATTGGTTAGTACACAAAGACTTAGACAGACAAGACAGATAAAAGAAGATAAAAGATTTGAATTGCTGTCTCACACAAATATAAAAATCGTCTAGCTGATCACTTCACTGAATTAGTTTACTTGTTGTCCGTTTCGGGACAGTTGTAAAAATTATTATTTAATAAAAAAAAGTAGGGCAAACAACTTGTTACCACAATAAAGTGTACCACTTGAAATAGCACTATGTAATTATACAATTTAGCACCGCTGTGTGTGGCGCTCTAATAATTTCTTATCAATAGCTAAAAACCATAGATAAAAGCTAAAAACTAAATTAATGAACAACAAATTCAAGATTGTTATTTTTAAATAATCATATATTCACAATACAAAATATATATGAAGGATTCTCATAAATTTCACAAGGCGCCAAACTGATGATATTTTTAGTCAATTTTGGAGGCAAAGGTATAAAATATTAGGAAATTTTAGATCTATTCTGTTCTCTATGTTAATTTCAATACTTCAGTTTAAGCAATAGATATAAAAAATAATATTATCTATAAATAAAATAATGAGACATTTTGAATAATATTTAATCACTTGTATAATAATAATTGAACAGAACTTAATTTATGTAGTCTGATAGTGAAAGGTATTTTGCTATATGCAAAATAAACAATGTTTCTCCTTTCATAGGTAGTAATTATCCAAATAAATTTTTAAATATAAAGATTGCTCGTTCATATAATACATCTTAAAAAACAAAAACAAATTGAAAGAGATATTATAATGAGATTTATTATCTTTTAGACTCACAATGGAACCTGTCCACAAGAGCCCATTTATTGTGAAAACAAATGTGGCGCCCGTATCCAACGAAGACGTATGAGCAGACATAGGGCTGCAGAGTGCCCCAAACGTATGATCCCTTGCAGACATTGCCATAAGGAATTTGTGGGTGACACCTTAGCAACTCATCATTCGCTGTGCCCCAGATTACCTATTTCATGCCCTCAGAGATGCGAGAAAGCTCCTCTACCACGAGAAGAACTGGAAACACATTTGAAAGATGAGTGTGATAGATTGCAAATTAGCTGTGCCTTCCGTGATGCAGGATGTAACTTTAAGGTCAGTATTAAAACAAGGTTTATGAAAAACATCACTGAATTGCAGCATAAGGTTAATTCCATTCTTATTTTTATAGGGAACACGCCAGTCAATGGATTCTCACATATCTACTAGTTGTTCCCAACATCTACAAATGATGGTTGCTTTATCATCACGCCAAACACAACAAATCAACTCCCTACGAAATGCTGTAGCCTCTTTGTCTTTGAACTATTCTGGTACTTTAGTATGGAAATTATCAGATTGGACTTCAAAAATGTTGCAGGCAAAAAGTCAAGACGGTGTCGAGTTGCTATCACCTCCTTTTTACACCAGCCAATATGGGTATAAACTTCAGGTGAGAATCATCGCTTAGAAAACTGTGTCGAATGAATTATTAAATATACCTTATATCCATGACCAATAATACTAATTGATAACTTGCAGGCCTCAGTTTTCTTAAATGGAAATGGTGCTGGTGAAGGTACACATGTGTCTGTCTACATCAAAATCTTACCAGGGGAATATGATGCTTTATTAAGATGGCCGTTCAGTCATTCGGTGTCTTTCACATTATTTGATCAATCACAAAGTGAGTAAATGTTAAGACATGATTTAAATTGTTTGTTACTAAGCTAAATTGTCATGCAATCATGAATCATCATGCAATTGATATTTTCAATTTATATTGCTGTAGATTCAACTTAACTTTGAAATGCTAAATAAGTACCCAAGTACCCAGTCATCATATGTAAAACCTACTAAATATTGATGCATGTGAGCAACTTCATAAATTAGATTTTCATATTTCATTTGTTATTGTTCAATATTTGCAAAGTATGAGACATTTTTTGAACATCGTTTAATGATATTGTTTTTATTGTTTCAGATAAAAGCTGCAATGTGGTTGAATCTTTCATACCAGATCCGACATGGGAAAATTTCCAGAGACCTAGCATAGCACCTGATGCATTAGGTTTTGGTTTCCCAAAATTTGTTTCACATGAAATGCTGAACAGACGATCCTTCATTAAAGACGACACAGTTTTTATTCGAGTCAAAGTTGATCCCAGCAAGATTGTAGCGGTTTAGGAGAGTTACCAATGCATTGTAAATATTATTAGCTTCAATAATTTAGTCTTGCCTTATTATAGAATTGTCATAAGTTGTATATAATTGAAAGAGATAATTATAAGTAATAGTAATAATCTGAGTGAAAATTGGTTTATCTTAGTCATGTGTGAACATATAATTGGATCAATTAATGGTAAAAGAAAAACGGATTTTCAAACTTAAAGAATTTTTGTTGCTCATAAAGATATATTTTGACTGATATTAAAATTTGTTTAATTAAGTATATTTTTATATTTTGTATATATAGGCATATAAATGATTAAATTTAAGTCAATTGCAGCGATAAGAATGATCTGTAAATTTTTGAAACTATTAATATTATATTAATATTAATAAGATATTTTTATATAAATATATTTAGCATATTTTCAACCTTTTATATTACAGTACTATATTATAATTTAAAGATTGAATAATAGCTGGACTTAATTGCCAAAGCAAGCTTCATTAGTATATGAATACATTTTTGTAATTTAGTGTTACAAAAATAGTGTTAATTATTTTGTATTGATTAATTCATAAATATATATTATCTAAGCTGGTAATACCAAAGTTAAAGAAGGTTTTCAAATTATTGAAAATCAAATATATTGTATCAAAGAAATTCAACACAAAGTGAATAATGACTGATATCACAAAAATAAAAAGAAATAATAATTTTCAAGTAACGCACTACTTTCATTTTTGGATTTTTTTTATTGAACTTAATTAAATTAATTTTTATATTGAAATTTATATCCATGGATATAAATTTCAATAAAAAATTATTCCACTCTTTCATTCTTCAAATTCTATAGACTTAAATTAAAAAATCAAGTTAACTAAAGAAACTGTTATTAAATTTTTCTAAAGTCAGTTGAAGTTTCTTTGGACATAGTATAAATATAAACAAAATTTTATATTCAAATGTGTGATCACTAAATTTGTATGATATATAATACACAATATGAAAAATATAGAACGTTTTTTTATTTCAAAATTAAAAAAATATATTTATTCCATGAAATGGAAATCCATTTTATGGATGCACAAAGTTTTCAGATCGAATAAGCTTATCTAATGCTGAAAATTAATGAATCATTTTCGAAGCATTTCCGATCAATTGATATGATTCATAATTGCAATAATGAATCATCTAAGCATTAATGAATTGTCTAAGCATTTTGAAGCTAAGATTAGCTTAATTAATTGATTTAAAAACTTTGTGCATCTATAAAATTGATTTATAAAGTCCATTATTTATTTATGCATAATTGTGTAAACTATCAAAAATTTAAGAGAAATCTTTGAGGAAATATGATCGATGCTGATTTGTACTGATTAAATATTTTTGTACTGATTATTATTCAAAGTACTAATTACTAATTAAAGTACTGAAGCACTAATTGTATATTTTTTGTACTAATTAAAGACTCGAGGCATATTTTAGCAAATATTTTGTGAAAATACAGTAATAACTGATGATATATATTTAAATATGTATATACTATAGAAGTTATTGTTAAAGTACTTTTACTTAATTTGTTAACTTCCCATAGGGTATTTATTGTAATGGACCAAAAATCGCAATTGAAAATTTTTACATTACTCGACGTTTTCAATAACTGAGAAACGACTCGTCGATCATTGACAAAATTTAATCAGCACGATTCTCAAATAGAAAGTTTGTAATGGTTTTTGAATTTTCAAACTCGATTCACAAATGTAGGCTATATATAACGTAGACAAAAAAAATGTTTTTCAAATAAGATTGTGAATTTTTAAGAAAACGTCGACTAAACATGAAATTTTGACTCACGTAAAAAAGCGCTGCTCAATTTTTCAAACTTTGGGAATCGAATGTTTTCTAACCATTCAAATCGGTTGATCGGTGCGCCCGAAAACATGGACGATAAATTGTATCTATGCATACATACACACACACACATCCATTTTTTCTGATGTATGCCAAAATGTTCAGAAACCTTTGAAACCTAAAGATATATAAAAATTTTGATTTTCAATTTTTTGCGATTACTATAACTCACCCTGCGGGAAGTTAATAAATTTTGCACAATGTCTTCGAACTCGTTCTTATTGCGAATATACATGGGATTGCGAACATTTTTCTACATTTTATTAAATATCTTGAAAATTTTGTTTCAAGCACTCTTTTTTTGTTAACGTAACAGAAACCAGATATTTTTTTCTGTAATTTCATATAAACTGTTTTATTTGCTTCTAAATTTTGAATAAAACAATGTATATAAAACTTATATACGATGTAAAATGGGTTGAGTTTTTTTTAAGTTTGGATAAATGAAACGCGTTCTTAGGGAATTATCGTGTATAATAAAAATTTTATTGTTGACAGTTGAACACTTCTAAAAATATATTGCGAATAATTCACGATTATTTTCACTTATCGGAAAGTTCAAGTAACTTGCCAAAAGGCAAAATGTCACTTCCAACTAGTTGATGATACAGATATACAGATATATTTTTATATAGGCATTTAAAAAAATTTTACTCACGTTTTGATACATTTTGGAAATTTTGAATCCAGGTGAAAAAACTGTTGTCATTTTTTCACAAATAAAAATTGATGCTACAACATATTTGTTAACAATTATTATTATTTAAGGATTTATTTGTTTCACTAATTACACAATGTACAAGCGTCTATGTCGACCATTTTAAATCTCATAATGTTATATAATATTGTTGCTGTCTTTTCATTTCTAGTTTGGTGTCAGTTGGTATCAGTTATTGTTGCCTAACTTCAAGTGAAACACGAAAGTGGATGTATAAAGGTACGACCACACCTAACGAACGAACACAAACGAACATAAATGAATGAACGTACCAGAACGAACGGCAACAGCATAGTGTGGCGCCACAACGATCACGAACGACCATAAACAAACATGGCGAGCAATGTTCCGCAACTTGTAAGTACATCAAAGGGAATTGTTCGTTCATTTTTGAACTCGTATGTGCAGTGTGGACGCTACCACGAATGTAGACAAAAAAAATTCTTTTTTGATGTTAAAATGTGCAGTCCTGCATTAGTTTATGTTGTGTTTCTTATAAGATATTGCTGTTATTGACAAATCTTGTAAATTCGATGACTTTAAATAATTTTGCTCTTTCCCGACACTTTAAATAATAAATCTGACGTTTCACGGTACATCCTCGAACAAAAAGATTCAAGCCCCCACTGCTTTGAGGCGTTTGTTTGGAATTATTTGTGTTTGTTCGTGTTCTTGTTCGTTCTTCTTTGTATTTTCTTGTTCGACATGTTCATTCGTTAGGTGTGGCGCACCTTAATAAAATGTAAAGGAAGAGTAAACTAATAAAAATTAAGTAAAAATTAACTAGTTGGTATTGGTATTTTACCTTGAGGCAAGTTACATGAACTTCCCGATATGTGTTAATAAACTACTTAATCAATAAAAAATAAATTAATTTATGAGCGATTAAAAGTATTCCGAGTGGATTTATTACACATAATTAAAAACGAACTTTCAAAAATCAACGATTTTTATAATTGAACCAGTTTCCGTAGGTTTTTTAATTGTTTAGTATGTTTATTAAGACTAAGCAATACCAAGTTATACCAAGTAAATCGTCTAATTTTAATTTTAATAAACGTCAAAAAAACTACTCGTTTTTTCAAACTTTGATGAATTTTTAAAATCAAACTACTTGTCCTAGGGCCATAATACTTCAGTAAGTTCTATAACACATTGATATGTATCGCCAAAAAAAGTTTCATAAAAACCGGTTTAATTATTTTTTTCAACAGTTAATTACAAGATAACGGCTCGGTAGATTTTCACCTAAAACTAATCAGTATCATTTCTATCTAATATCTTTTGAACATATTTTGTTTTTTTAAAATCGATTCGATACTATGAGCTTAAATGTGGACGAAAAGTTTAACATTTTTTTTCAAGTTACAAAGAAACGGCAGATCGATGAACAAAACTGACAAACGATAGTCCTCATTCAGATACATCAAATGGCTTTTAAATTTCTGAAATCGGTTCAGGCGTTTTTGAGTAAACGTCGATGAAAGGTCTAATTTTGACCAGTGCCAAAAAACGATACCAATTTTTGCAAACTTTGACGAATTTTTAAAGCTAAACGAGTTGTCGTAGGGCTGTAATATTTTAGTATGATCTAGAAGACTATGGTATCTACCATCAAAAAAATACTAATAATAATCGCCAAAAATTTTTTTTAACACTTTATTACAAGAAAACGGCCCGGCCTATCTTCACAAAAACTAATCAGGTAGATTCCCAACCAATATCTTTCGAACGGTTGTTGAATTTTCAAAATCGATTCAGAATTGCGGGCTAAAACGTGGAGAACAATTTTTTCACTTTTCTGATTTTATAAAAAAAAACGGCTTGGCCAATCGTCACACAAAATTGACAAACAATAGTCCTTATCGAGATACATCGAATGGCTTTCTAATTTCTGAAATCGGACCAGCCGTTTTTGAGAAAACGTCGATTTACGGCAAAAAATCTGTTTACACACACTTATACTTTTTCTAAATTTGGTCTCATTGGAATCAGAATGGCTTGAAACGTCGCGAAAACATAAAATTAGCGAAATTTTTGATGAAAACATAAACTTCTGCTTCGGGTAGTTAATAATCAACTATAGTTGTGTATGGCATCGTGCCTTAAGACAAATTGCAGGTACTTCCCGTACCGTAACGAAATGCTCGAGGAATATTAAATATTTTTAAATAGATTATTATAAAATAAATTAAATTAACTGAATTGAAAACATTTGTTTAAAGTATATTAGAACTTCGATATACAAAAAAAATATTTTTATATCGAAACAAGCAGGTAGTTTTTTGAATCATTCAAATCAGATTCTTAGTTCTCTCAAAAACTGCCATTTTTTACACATTTAGCGCGGTATCTCTGAAACGGCTGGACCTGCCTTTGCCAAAA